TTTTTTTTTTTTTTTTTTTGAGTCGGACTCTCACTTTGTTGCCCAGGCTGGAGTGCAGAGGCACGCTCACGGCCACCACAGCCTTGACCTGCTGGTTTCAAGGAGAGCCTTCTGCCTCAGCTTTCCAAGTAGCTGGAACTACAGGCATGCACCACCACACCCAGCTAATTTTTAAAAATTTATTGTAGAGAAGAGGTCTTGCCATATTGTCTAGGCTGTTCTCGAACCTATGGGCTCAGGTAATCCTTTCACCTCCACCTCCCAAAGTGCTGAGATTACAGGCATGAGCCACCATGCCTGGCCCAGCTCATCTTTTTATAGCCCCATTTAATCGGATTTAGGTGTAGATCAGAAAACCTTACCATGGTATCCATAAGGTTCTGGGCTGATCAACATTTAGGAGCTTCTGTAAATACTACTGGAATTCCAGCCTGATTTCTCTTAGCTTACTTCATCTGATTTGCTCTCTTGGGGACTCGTAGACAGAATTTTTCATAGAATTACTGATTATTTTAAAATCCTCAAGGGGTCTCATCTTTGCATCAAGGCATGGCCCGTCCATCTATCATTTACAATTGTTAGGAATTTTCACACAAATGCTACTACGTACATTGCTTTCGGATTGTGATGTCGTTTGATCTTTCCCATAAGATAACTGAATAGGCATCTTTGTACACCTTGACTCGCCCAGCCAGGATCATCATTCCAGAGTTAACATGAGTAAACCGCCACAAAAGGGGAACCACTTACACTCCAAACCGGCCGGCGAGGCGCGCAAGGTAGCCTTGGTGCTTTCAGCAAGACTGAGACCCTCGGGGCCAGGCGGGGGCGCCAACTGCACGTGTGCAGGGCCTGGCCTCAAGACTTTGGGGGCGGGGCTAGCTGCAGAACTGCGGGACACAGTGATTGGTTGCGACCTGGCGGAGGCGGGAAGAAGAATTTGTCGCGCGCGCTGATATCTCTGATTGGCTGCCAGGAATAGCTCGTGCTGGCCGGCGAGAGAGAC